AATGATGAGAGGCTGGGCGCTGGTGGCTCATGCCTGTAATCCTAGCTACTCAGAAGGCTGAGATCTGAGGATCACGGTTCAAAGCCAGCCCGGGCAGGAAAGTCCATGAGACTCTTACCTCCAATAAAAACCACTAGAAAACCGGAAGTGGCACTGTGGCTCAAGTGGTAGAATGCTGGCCTTGAGCTGAAGAGCACAGCACCCAAGCCCAGAGTTCAAGCCCCACGACCAACCAAAAAAAAAAAAAAAGAATGATGGGAGAGGGGCTGGGAAGGTGGCTCAGTGGTAGAGCACTTGCCTTGCATGCATGAGTCCCTGGGTTCAATTCCTCAGCACCACATTAGCAGAAAAAGCTGGAAGTGGTGTTGTGGCTCAAGTGGTAGTACGCTTGCCTTGAGCTGAAGAGCTGAGAGTCAGTGCCCAGGCCCATAGATCAGGCCCCAAGACCAACCAAAAAAAAGAAAAAAGGAAAAAGAAGAATGATGAAAGAAGGCTGGGAATGTATCTTAGTAGTAGAGTGCTTGCCTAGTATGCATGAAGCTCTGGGTTCTATTCCTCAGTACCACATAAACAGAAAAAGCTGGAAGTGGCACTGTGGCTCAAGTGGTATAGTGCTAGGCTAGAGCAAAAGAAGCTCAGGGATAGTGCACCTATGCCCTGAGTACAAGCCCCAGGACAGGAAAAAAAAAAAAAAAGATGAATAACAGTGACCAAGATGCATTGTACTCACAAATTGACATGTTCAAATGAAACCCCACTTTGTACAAATACTTAAACAAGCTGGTTCCAGTGGCTGAAACCTATAATCTTCTCTACACAGGAGGGTGAGCAAGGTTTGAAGCTAGCCTAGGCAAGAAAGTCTGCAAGACTCTTATCTCCAATTAACTACAAAAGGACAGAAGTGGAGGTACAGCTCAAGTGGTAAAGCTCATACCCAATTCAAAAGGAAGAGACTAATTAATGGGAAAAAGCAACCAACTGATAGGATACTGTCTTCAAGCTAACTACTTTTATCATAAGAATTGTAAGTATAAGCTGGGTGTCGGTGGCTCACACCTATAATCCTAGCTACTCAGGAGCCTGAGATCTGAGGATCGCAGTTCAAAGCCAGCCCGGGCAGGAAAAGCCCATGAGACTCTGATCTCCAATATACCACCAGAAAACTGAAGTGGTGCTGTGGCTCAAGCGGTAGAGTGCTAGCTTTGAGCTGAAGAGCTAAGGGACAGAGTCCAGGCCCACAGTTCAAGACTCATGACAGACAGAAAAAAAAAAAAAAAGAAAAAAGAAAAAAACCTTTAAGTGTATGTACCTTAAATATAACAATAAAACTTTCTCAGCCAGGCAACAGTGACTCACACTTGTAATCCTAACTACTTAAAGAGGCCAACACCCAAGGATTATGGTTCAAAGCCATCCTGGGCAGGCAAGTCTGTAAGGTTCTTTTTTTTTGTTTTGTTTTGTTTTTTTGGGTCCGGCTTTTTTCTTTTTGCTTATGTGGTGCTGAGGAATCGAACCCAGGGCCTTGAGCATGCAAGGCAAGCAAGCGCTCTACCACTGAGCCACCTTCCCAGCCCATGGTTCTTATCTCTAATTAACAATTAAAAAGCCAGTAGTGGACCTGTGGCTCAAATAGTAAAGTGCTAGCCTTGAAGAAAAAAACCTCAGGGACTGTGCCAAGAAACTGAGTTCAAGCCTAGGAATACACTAAATAAAATAAAATTTTCTCACAATTGAAATAAGTTGTTTTCATGATGCAAACACAAATGTTTTCAAACCTTTCTAATTAAATTGGGTTCTAACTAGGCACCAGTGACTCACAGCTATAATCCTAGCTACTCAGGAGGCTGAGATCTGAGGACTGCAGTTTGAAGCCAGCCTGGGCATGAAAGTCTGTGAGACTCTTATCGCCAATTAACCATAAAAAGCTGGAAGAAGAGGTATCGCTCAAGTGGTAGAGCTTTAGCCTTGAACACTGAAGCTTGGAATAGCATGCAGGCCTAGAGTTCAAGCTCCAGAACCGGGGGAAAAAAATAAAAATAAAAAAGATGGACAGCTTGATTCTAGGGAATTTAAGACCAATCTGGGCAACACTGCTATAACCGATATATATATATATAAAAAGGCATGGAAATGCCTATAATCCCAGCATTCAGGAGAACAAAGGAGAATGATCTCAAATTGAAATCCCAGTTTTACACACACACACAAAAAAAATCCAAAACAAACCAATAACAACAACAACAGAAAAAAGCAACCACCAAGATTCTGGCAGTGCCCAGAAATATGTTATTTACTCACCTTAACTGCTGTACAAGCTCTGGACAGCTCTGAAATGAAAGAAATTACATTAAAACATTAAACTATATTAATACCTTTGAGGACATCTAAAGACTTTGATTAATAGCACATGCTTCATAACAAAAAACATTGACTACAGAAATCCCTTAAGATATCAAAAGGATATTCTTTCTACTTGGTGAACCATGGTGTTGGGACAGGATATTAAAAATAAAAATAGATTAATTTATAAAGGAATCAACTTTTATCAAATTAAGACATCAGGAACTCTCTTTAATGTCAATCTTGGAATTCAGATCACACTAACTGGTTGCTTATATTTCACATTCATTTTTATTCCAAGATTTTTTTCAGATTATCTGTTCTTTATGACTATCATCTTTGTAGATTGGAATTATGGAACTATGAACCTCTGGGTCATGTTTGTTTATATGAAATGAATAGGGTTCCCTCAGTGTTTCCACTTATAAAAGTCCTTGGATGGTTTCAGTGATGGACCCATGTATTCTAAATTCCATTCTAAGGCTATTGATATAGCTCTTCACATCATTTCTATAGTGGCTCATGAAAAACCTAAACCCAAGCTATTATACCCCAACAATTCATTTTTAAATTAATGTTCCTGAGTAAAGCCCATAGATTCCAGTGAAATATCAACAACACATACCACAGGATTCTCCCCATGGTGAGCCACTTTTACATCACAAAGCTGTCCTGCAGGATCTAACTGCACTTCCACATAGAACATATCTGACGTGATGTAACATTCAGTACCACTGGCACTGAGATGAGAGCCCAGTCTAGCAAGAACAAATTAAAACAAAAATTAATAGAAGACACATAAATAAAGCCACCCAAAGTTAACACTAAATAAATATTTCTGCCTACAGATAAAACTACATACCCATTCTGCCTTGCTATTGACTCCAAACGATCAGTCATTGCTGGTAAAGATGTTACTAAGGGGTGAAAAGGAAGAAAAAAAAAATCACAAAGAATGTTACAAGTAAATACTATTCATCAGAAAGAAGCATAGAAAGCCATAAACATATTTAATAGTTCAAATGTTCATAATATGCACAAAGTTCGAAGATAAGGCTTAGCTGTAATCTACCAATAAGAGTATAGGTAGTGTCAAGCTCTGGTGGCTCACACATGTAATCCTAGCCACTCAGGAGGCTGAGATTTGAGGATTGCAGTTCAAAGCCAACCTGAGCAGGAAAGTCTTTAAGACTCTTATTCTCCAATTAAACACCAGAAAACCAAAAGTGGAGCTGTGGCTCTAAGTATTAGAGCTTTTAGCCTTGAGCAAAAAGACCTCAGGAATAGAGTCCAAGTCCTGAGTTCAAATCCCACCACCAAGAAAAAAAAACAGTATAGGTAGGAGTAAAATAAGATCTATTGGAAAATTACTGGTCTCCTTTTCCATTACTTTTTATCTGGGCCAACATGTCTTAAAAAAAAAAAAAACACCAAAAAACCCACACATTTAGACTCAAGTACCAGAGGTGCATGTCTGTAATTCTAGCTACTCAGGAGTCTCAGATCCAGAGGATAATGGTTCAAAGCCCGTCTGGGCAGAAAAGTCTACAAAACTCCATCTCCAAATAACTAGCAAAAAGATGAGCTGGTGCAAGTGGTTGAGTACCACCTGTGAGCAAGCTAGCCATTTGAGAGCATGAAGCACTGAGTTCAAATTCCAGGATTAGGAAAAAAAAATTATCTACTAATGCAGTGCTAAATGGTAGTGGTGCACCTATACCTAGTCCTAATACCATTCAAAGCTGAGGCTATCTGAATGCTTGAATAAGTCATATAAATATTAAAACCAACAGTAGGAGAGTAGTTTAGAGGTAGAGTCAATGCTAGCACCCAGAGGGGGAAGATATGGCTCAAATGGTAAAGTGCTTGCCAATCAAACACAAGGACTGGGTTCAAAGCTCAGTTCCACAAAATACCACACAAAATAAACAAATAATAATAATGAAGAAAGACATTTAAAGTAATACTAACACCCAAAAACAAAAAATAACAACAAAAAACACCCCACAAACATTACAGGCTAGTTAGGGGTTGACTAGTGTATGTAAAGCCCTTGATTAAATCCATAATTCCACAAGAATATAAATTAAATAAATTAATAAATTCTCAATGGTCAGAGCATCATTCACAACAGCCAAAAGATGGAAGCAACCCAAGTGTTAAAAGATAAATGACTAATCAAAATATGGTATAGTCAGGACCGAGAAGGTGGCTTAGTGGAAGATTGTTTATGTAGGAGGCATGAAGCCCTGGGTTTGATTGCTCAGTACCACATAAACAGAAAAACCCAGAAGTGGTGCTGTGGCACAAGTGGTAGAGTGCTAGATAGCTTTGAGTGAAAGAAGCTCAGGGCAGAGCCCAGACTCTGAGTTCAAGCCCCAGAACTGGCAAAAAAAATAGATAAAATAAAAATAAATTACATTTTAAAAATATATGGTATAGTCATGTAGTAAAATACCAATCTTAAAATAGAAAGAAATTAAAATGGTGCTGGTAGCTCATACCTGTAATACTAGCTACTCAGAAGGCTGAAATATGAGAATCACGGTTGCAAGTCAGCTAGGGTAGGAAAGGCCGTAAGACTCCCATTTCCAATTAATCAGCAAAATAAAGCCAGAAATAGAGTTGCAGCTCAAAGTGGTAGAGCATTAGCCTTGACCACTCAGGGAGGGTGCTTAGGCCCTGAGTTCAAGCCCCAGGACTGGTTAAAAAAAAAAATTAAGCTGGATGTTGTAGTACATATCTATAATCCCAGCACTCAGGAGGTTAAGGCAGGTAGAGCATCTCAAGTTTAAGGGTGGCCTGGACTACACAGACCAAGAAAACAAAACAAAACAAAAAGAAACAGCTGGGTATGGTAATGCACACCTGTAATCTCAGCATTCAGAAAGCTGAGGCAGGAGGAGTAGGTAGTTAAGGAAAGAGATCATTTTAAGTTCATAAATGAATGTGAGCAACAATATCTAATGTAAGTAATAATCTATCTCAATTCATAGTTTTATTTTAAGTATAATACAGTTTTTAAACTGGAGGTTTCATGAAATCAGTATATTTTAAAGTTTACAAACCTTTGAGAGCCTTCTGCAATGTCTCCAAACAGCTGACCAAATGTTGGTGACCTCCAGAACTCATTACAACCCTCTTCTCCTGTATCAAATGGGAAAATATTCAAAGTAAAAAATCAACCATGTCAAAACAACATTTCAGGTGAATAGACTTATTATCTACTAGTAATATTTAAAGAAAGCCCTTAAGCTCCACATAGTCTAACAGATTCTTGTTACTCTGAGTCCATACAAAGGAAAAAAATTTCATATAGATGAACACAACTATATGCACACATGTAATTGGAGAAAAAGGTATTCACACATCTACAATAAGCTCATGGACAAACTGGGAATAATTAAACAGTTAAAGCAGCTTAGAAGATTGTGGAATAAAGTGGTTTGCCATTTATTCTGAGAATTACACTCAAAACTTGGTAGAAATAGATTGACTCTAAGAAACAGACTATCAAGTTAAAACAAGGACCTACTAAGGAACAACAACAAAAAAATTCAGTATAGCTTTGTTATTATATCTAGGACTTTCCTTTCTGCAAAACATTCTACTCTCCAGAAATGTGATCAATTTTATGGTACAAGGATAGTTTTCAATGCTTTTCCATGTCCTAAATAAGTCTCTCTCTCTTTACCTTATCCACATCATCACAAAACAAATGTGACTTATTATCTGGCTTCCCTTATACCTTAAATAAAGAAGGGATGCTCTGGGCAAGGAAAGTCAGAGCTTGGAAAATAGAAAGAAACTGTTATAAAATAATAAACAGCTATTCTGACTTACATATTAGTCTAGTGAGATTTGATAATGTGCCTGCTGTTTAAAAATAGAAACTCCCCCTACTCCCCTTTTTTTTGTTGGTTGTGGGGCTTGAACTCTGTGTCTGGGCGCTATCCCTCAGCTCTTTAGTTCAAGGTTAGTGCTCTACTACTTGCACAGCACCACTTCTGGTTTTCTGCTGGTTAATTGGAGGTGAGAGTCTCATGGACTTTCCTGCCTGTGCTGGCTTTGAACTGTGATCCTCAGATCTCAGCCTCCTGAGTAGCTGGCATTACAGGTATGAGCCACCGGTCCCTGGTTAGAAACTCTTAATGTACTAATAAAATCAGAGAGAGAGAGAGAGAGAGAGAGAGTGTGTACATGCACCCACGCACCAACTCTAAAGCCGTGTGTGTGTGTGTGTGTGTGTGTGTGTGTGCGCGTGCGCGCGTGCACCCACGCACCAGCTCTAAAGCTTCAACTCAGGGCCAGGGGTCAAAGCTAGCACTTCACTTCTGGCTTTTTGGTGGTTAGAAATAAGAATATCATGAAGTTTCCTGCCTGGGATGGCTGGAAGAGGAGGTGTGGGTCAAATGGCAGAGCACCAGCTAGAAAAGAAACTCAGGGGGCTGGGAAGAGGGCTCAGTGGTAGAGCGCTTGCCTTGCATGCATGAGGCCTTGGGTTCAATTCCTCAGCACCACATAAGCAAAAAGAAAAAAGCCGGAAGTGGCGCCATGGCTCAAGTGGTAGAACGCTAGCCTTGAGCTGAAGAGCTGAGAGACAGCGCCCAGGCCCAGAGTTCAGGCCCCACAACTGGACCCCCCACCAAAAAAAAGAAAGAAACTCAGGGGTTTTTTTATTTCTTGGTGCTAAGGGAATAAACAAACCCAAGGCTTCATACAAGTTAGGCAAGCATTCTACCACTGAACTATATTCACAAGATTGTAAAATACAGATATTCTGCAGGGTACCACATCCTCACACCTAGCTTCTCAGGAGGCTAACATATAAGGATTGTCTTCCCAGGCAGAAAAATCCATGAACCTCTAATCTCTAATTAACCAGCAAAAAGCTAGAATTGAAGGCATGGCTCAAGTGTGACCTTGAGTGAAAAAACAGAGCAGGCCCTGAATTCAAGCCTTACTACTGGCACATACTCACAAAAACCTCTGACTAGAAATATAGTTCTTTTACTAGTTTTATACAGCCATTATCATTTCATTTATTTTTTTGTGTACTAGTCCTATGTTTGAACTCTAGGCCTGGGCCTTGTCCCTGAGTTTCTTTCCCTCAAGTCTGTTTTCTACCACTTGAGCCACAGCTCCACTCCTGACTTTTTTTAGTAGTATATTGGAGATGACAGTCTCATAGGGTTTCCTGCCCAGGCTGGCTTCAAACCACAGATCTTTGCCCCTGAGTAGTGAGGATTACAGATATGAGATACTGACACCCAAATGATATATCATTTTGAACATTAATAAACCTACTAAACTGGACTTACTCTGGAAGTACAATAAGGCAGAAGAAGTATTTTCATTAAGGAATATAATAGAAATGTTAAGAAGTCTTAAGTGAAACAATCACAAATATACCACTATGAAGATAAAAATAGTTTTCTTATGTATTTTGACTATCACTTGAATCATGTGAATTAGCTTGTACTATCCAGCTCTTAAAATAATCACCACATTCCTCTTAAAAAAAAACAACAGAATAAAAAAAGAGTTTCAGGACTTTCCTGCTTGGGCTGGCTTTGAATCACAACCCTCAGATCTCAGGCTCCTGAGTAGCTAGGATTATAGGTATGAGCCACTGGTATTGGCCACAATTCATTCTCCTTCTCCTTCTTCCTTTGCCAGTCCCGAGGCGTGAACTCAAGGCCTGGGCACTGGCTAGTACGCTTCCACTTGAGCCATAGCTCCACTTCCAGCTTTTTCTGTTTATGTGGTACTGAGGAATTGAACCCAGGTCTTCATGCATGCTAGGCAAGCAGTCTACCAATGAGCCAGGTTCCCAGGTACTAAGACTCTTATCTCCAATTAACCACCAAAGAAAACCCAGAAGCAGAGCTTGGCTCAAGTGTACTACTTCAGCACAAAAGCTCAAGGGCGACGTGCAAGCTCCAGGACTGGCACCGGCATGCATGCGCGCACACACATGAATTCATGAATTCTAAGCTGGTAGCCAGTTGCAGCTGAGATGTGAAGATCAAGATTCAAGGCCAACCCAGGCAAACAAATACATGAGACTTTTTTGTTTTGTCAGTTGTGGGGCTTGAATTCTGGGCTTGGGTGCTGTCCCTGCACTCTTCAGCTCAAGACGAGTACACTACCACTTGAGCTACTTGCGGTTTTCTAGTGGTTTATTGGAGATAAGAGTCTTACTGACTTTCCTGCCTGGGCTGGCTTTGAATCGAGATCCTGATTAGCTAGGATTACAGGCGTGAGCCACCAGCGCCTGGCTTTGTTTTTTTGTTTTTTTTTTTAAGGTCTAAGACTGGGATTCAAACTTGGTACCTGACCCTTTTGCTAATAGGATAGTGATCTACCTGCTTCCAACCCCTCATGAGACTCTTATTTCCAATTAACCAAAAGGAGGAGCTAGGGGATCTAGCTAAAGTGGCAGAAAAAAAAACTGAAAGAGAGCAAGATAGCCTGCTATCACATTTCAGTACCAGCAAGAATGAATCAGAAACTCCTAATAGGTATTATGTAGATAAGATAAAAGCAGAATCACATGAAAATGAAGGAGCCTGTCAGGAAGTGAAAAATAAGTCTTTACAACAACTTCTCAGCGCATCTCTCATAGATATGTTTATTGGCACTTGGCCTGAAAGTCCCAGCTCTTCATATCCTTAACATTTAACACTCTTGGATTCAAGTTACCATGGTTCAAAAATATTTTCAGGAAAAGATAGTTCTGAAGTAAACATCATCAGTCTTTTTTATCATTACTCTAAACAATGCAGCATATCAAATATTCACATATCACTTACATGGTTTTATAAGTAATTTAGAAATGATTTAAAATATACTGCAGGACATCCATATGTTAATGCAACTATAAGCCATTTTACATAAGAGATCTGAACATCCATGCATTTGGTATTCATGAAGAATTTGAAAATCAATCCTACATGAACACTGAAGAACAAATGTATACATCCTTTCTAGGGAGACCCCTGAAATTGATAGCCACTATGTATGCAGGTGTTTTGTGATAAATGAAACTGAAGAGACACTATTATAGTTAAGCCCACATGAGCAGCTTAGCTTATTGAATAATTAAACACATTTTACCCACTTCACCATAATCCTCACCATGACTTGACGCACAAGCTTAATAGTTTCACTCCAAGGTCTATTTTGGTTAAATTTTGCATGGAGCCGTTCCAAAAGGGAACTCATCTTACTCAGCTTTTCCGACTCTAAAATATAAATCAGAAAACATAATTAGAAACCCTTTTAATTCAAGACCTTTCACATGTGGGTATCAGTACTTTATTTCTTTATGTTGTTGCATAGAATACAATGTTTATTCTTTCACAGGTATTTGGATTATTTTTCAATTTTTGATTAATAAAGCTACCATAAAATGTACTTGCAAAATGTCCATTGTTTGGGCAACAGTGACTCACACTGTACTCCTAGCTACTAAGGAGGCTTAGATCTGAGGATAGTGGTCCAAAGCCAGTTTAAACAGAAAACTTCATGAGATTCTTATCTCCATAAGACTCCTTTTTTTTGGTCAGTCGTGGGGCTTGAACTATGGGTCTGGGTGTTGTCCCTGAGCTCTTCAGCTCTACCACTTGATCTACAGCACCACTTTGGGTTTTCTGGGTTAATTGGAGATAAAGAGTCTCATGGACTTTCTGGCCCTGGCTGGCTTTGAACCATGATCCTCAGATCTCAGCCTCCTTAGTAGCTAGGATTACAGGCATGAGCCACTGGCACCCGGCTCCATGAGATTCTTAATCAGCAAAAAGCAAGATGTGGTGTTATGGCTCAAGTGGTAGAGTGCCAGCATTGTGTGAAATAGTTAAGGGAGAGCTCCCTGGCCCTAAGTTCGAGTCCCAGGTGTGGCACACAAAAAGATGCATAATAACAATATTTTTATTATACGTAATAAACAGAAAGTATTTAAATGTCCAATAATAATGGCTTGGTTAAGCCAGTGCTAACATCATACAAATAAGCTATATAATCATTCAATGTGTGTTTCCAACAGATGTTTGTGAAATGCAAAATATTTATAAGGTAAAGGGAGGAAGTTATCTGCTAAATTGTGTTAGTATCTATTAAAGATATGCATATACATTTTAAGTAAATACGAATAATACAGAATATTAATAATATCAATAGTACATATTTTCCTGCAGAAGAAAATTTTAAATTTCCATCATTCAGTTAAAATATTTTCCTTATATTTTTACTTCAAAGCAAACAAAGAAAGCCACGCTAGGCATGGTGATACATACCTATGATCTCAGAAACTGGGAGGCTAAGGCAGAAGGGTTCTGAGTTCAAGGCCAGTGTGGGCTTTGGAACAAATTCAAGGACAGCCTAGGCTACACATGGGAGAACTTACCTCTAAACAAAACTCCCACTTCAGAAAAAAAATCTGGCTGGGCAGTGGTAGCTTACGCCTGTAATCCTAGCTTCTCAGGAGGCTATGGATCTGAGGATTGTGGTTAAAAGCCAGTCTGGGAAGGAAAAGTCCATGAGACGCCTTTTTCTTTTTGGTAGGTCATGGGTCTTGAACTCTGGGCCTGGATGCTGTCCCTGAGCTCTTCAACTCAAGGCCAGTGTTCTACCACTTGAGTCACAGCCACACTTCCAGTCTTCAGGTGGTTAATTGGATCACAGGAGGTTCCTGCCCCAGCTAGCTACGAACCATGATACTCTGATCTCAACCTCCTGAGTGGCTAGTATTATAGGCTCTTATTTCTAATTAACCACCAGAAAACTGGAAGTGGTGCTGTAGCTCAAAGTCGTAGAGCACTAGCCTTGAGCTAAAGAGCTCAGGAACAGTGCCCAGGTCCAGAGGTCAAGCCCCACGGACTGACCAAAAAAAAAAAAAAAAATCTGCATGAGAATATTTTTAAGAATATTATTTTTGTACTTTATTTGTCTAAGACACAGGGTATTGGCTTTGTTGCCCAAGTTGGCCTTCAACTCCTGAGCTCCAGTAATCCTCCAATCCTACTGCCTCAGCCACGTGGGTAGTTGGGATTAGGTTTACACTACCAAATCAAAAATGTATGTGGGGAAGTGGCACTGTGGCTCAAATGGTAGAGCACTAGCCTTGAGCTGAAGAGCGTAGGGACAGAGCCAGGCCCAGAGTTGAAGCCCCACGACCGACCAAAAAAAAAGAAAAATGTATATGTATGTGTTATTCATATGTATATATACATATATACATACACATACACACATGCATGTTTTGCTGTTAATTTGCTGGTTCCAGGGTTTGAATTCAAAGTTTGCTCAGCTTGATTGCTTGTCTGACCCTCTACCACTTGAGTCATGCCTCAAGTTATCTTTTTGCTGGTCATTTTGAAGATGAGGTCCTGTGGACTTTTCTTTTCTTTGGTCAGTTGTGGGGCTTGAACTCTGGGCTTGGGTGCTGTCCTTGCACTCTTCAGCTCAAGGCGAGCACTCTACCGCTTGAGCCACAGAGCCATATCTGGTTTTCTAGTGGTTTATTGGAGATAAGCGTCTCACGGATTTTTCCTGCCCAGGCTGGCTTTGAACCAAGATTCTCAGATTTCAGCCTCCTGAGTAGCTAGAATTACAGGCATGAGCCACTGGTGCCCAGCCCTATGGACTTTTCTATTGTAGCTGGCCTCAAACCAGTATCCCCTGGATATCAGCCCCAAGTACATAGGATTACAGGTGTGTGCCATTAGCACCCAGTTTGTTTTTGTTCTTTGAGTTCTAGAGATCAGGCTTGCCTCAAATTTATGATCCTCTTGCTTCAGCCTCCTGAATACAGATTATAGATAGCAGCCACCACACCAGGCTTAAAAGATATTTTTGCTGACAAGAATGAAAGTTATAGAAATATACTGGAACAGTATTGCTTTCTATTCAAACATTTAATAGGGACAATAACAAAAAGTTTCTAATTATATTAATATACATGAAATCCTCTGCATGATAATTTTTTTTTGGAGGGGTCCTGTCGTGGGGCCTGAACTCTGCGCCTGGGCACTGTCCCTCAGCTCTTCAGCTCAAGGCTATCGCTCTACCACTTGAGCCACAGCGCCACTTCCGGCTTTTTTCTTATGTGGTGCTAAGGAATCGAACCCAGGGCCTCGAGCATGCAAGGCAAGTGCTCTACCACTGAGCCACCTTCCCAGCCCCGTGCATGATATATTTTGAGCACACGTTTTAACACAGCTTTACTATACTTGGCTTTTGTTTGTTTTTGAGACAGTCTCAGTATATATCCCAGGCTGCCCTGTAACTCTCCATTCTGATACTCTCAAGGGTTCTACCACACCTGCCTTAGTATGATTTAGTTTTCAATGTGAAAATATTCACTTTCTTACTTTTTTTTTTTTTTT